CTGCATAGACTGAGTAACGAATGAGAAAATACAGAATTGAATTCATACAGAAGAAAACGATACAAAAACATCAAGGTCGCAAGAATTGGCCAAGGGGCAATCAATAAAGTAGGAAATTCAAACGCTGTGGGCAGCAAAAAACGGTGTAAAAACGTCTAAGGCAAAAAAGTTGGGAAGTGGAATATGTAAACAAAGAACCGGTGCTACCACAGCAGGGTTTGATTTACCACATGCTCCAGTTGTTTACATAGGTCAGGTTTAAACCGCCTTATGTATGCTGCCTCCAGGTAGCGTAAGATACGAGTTTTTCGTGCCCGAACAAGCACTCGGAAAGATGTTTTAGTGTCAACAGAATTTATTTATTTAGTTCTAACTGAGTCTAAACAGGGATCAGCTTGAAGCGTGGATGTAATTGGTGTTGGGATATTGAAAAGTCAAGCATGTAGAGTTTGGATGGGCAACCTGTCGGTAGAATGTACAGTTAGAAGCAGCTGATGCAGATCATTGTTACGCCAAGTGCAGTCCGTCGTGTTCCATGTTGCGGGAGTTAACAGATACATACGATTTACCCGTAGTTAGATCGGGTCCGGTAGATTAGTGTGTATAGGTAATACTCTCAACGGTGGTTGTACGGAATAATCGTATCGAATCAAAGCTTTCAGGATTTGAAAAGTGCACTCACGATATGAGCAAATGGATGTTCGTTCGTCAACATTGGTGATGCTGACATGTACACTAAGGTGTCTCAAAAAACCGGTAGGAACATTAATGCGATTTAACTGCAACGACTCGTAAACGGAGGCTGAGCATTAACAGCGCTGATCATTTGTGCTTCTATCACGCCTTCTAGTCTATTTTCCTCAGGTTTCTGTGTTCAACTATTTCTAACGATTGCTGCTACATCCCTTAGAGCGGTTAACCATTCTTGAGCGGAGCCTCATTCTTTTAGGACATTTTAATGAAACTGTCGACACGTCAGCCCCCCGTTTTAAACGTTTTTCTCTGAAAATCTAGCGCTTAGGCATGCTAAGGCTTGTCGTTTCGAAAGACGCTGATCTGACGTCCATCTGATCCATCGATGTTAAGTCTGCAGAACCTTCCAGCACACTCTTCTACTATGGCTGTCCGCCAAACATTTCTGTCACCTGTTCTTCACTATTCTATGGTGTAATGTCGATGGTGGCGTGCTTCCTCGCCTGGTTTTGGTAGCTTCATCGAGTTCGCGTTCCGTAAAGTGATACTTGAATTGTCGCAGGTGACACAGACCATCACGTTCTTGGACCACAGAAGTTCAGTAGCCGGACTATCTCGCCACTTGGAAACTTTCCCTATCGCTATTCGTAGCGCATTTTCTACACATTAGGGACTCTTTTGGCGGTTGGTAATGTGGAAGAAAATGCTGCATTGACCTCACTTTAGCTGGCCGGGAATGATTGGGCACACAAGATGACGGGTTGTGAGCCAGCGTACAACGTGTCCCGAACCCACGTAAGACAGTAATTAAATATGGACCCGGACTCACCGCAAGTTATTTGACGTATGCCGTTAGCCAACGTTGCCTACGTTGACATCTAGCAAAACAGCTGTACAGCCCACGCTAATATTACAAATCCTTACATCTACAGCTCGTTAAGGAAAGTGTCACGACGAAAATTGAAGTCTGCTGAAGGTTTTTCCTACCTAGGTTTTAGTCTATTTGAGCTTGGTATTTACGTAGCTATTACTTACTGATAATAATCTGGGTCTCCAGCAATATAACTATTGTCACTAGCAGCAAGGGCTTATGCTTTCTGTGCTATTACAAAATAAAGAACATTTTAGAATGCCAGAATGCCGAAACCACTGCTGGGAAGAGAACGAAAACGTTTGCTTTTTAACGCTATATTGTATGCTCCTCAGGCATGGTCGGCACAAACGGTGTTAACCTACGTTTCCAGACCACATTTTCCAACCCCTTAACCCTATAGAAGGCAAGCAACGTATATCTCTACGATTTTACTTTTACATTTCAGACTACTATAGAGTTATACCGACTTCGATAAGAAAACGAAATTGGCCTGTACATCATGTGTTATATTTGAAGTCGAGTTGATAGTGTTTAGGATAGCTTGGGCAGTGTTGTCGTTTCTCCGATTTCAATTTGTTCGTGATCTGTTAGCAAGACTGCCACGCCCGGCGACCAAGTAAGGTGCAGTCTGCGCATGCCACGACAGTTAGTCTCCCGTAACAAATCAATGAGACCACACCACGTTTAAAAATTTGGTGATGCTGGTTTACTTCATTTAGTTTGGCTTAATGGTCGCAGTGGTTACTAGGGTGTGGCTTCACACCTTTGGGTGACCACAACTGACAGCGTAATAGCATTCCTTGCAGCATGGCACGACCGCCGTTCTACCAACCATCCTGTCGCACAGACGTACCAAGTGCGAGATTTGCGAACTCAGATCTCCTGGTTTTTTAATTTTATGTTGCGCCTTCATTCACACCTGGCTGTTTCTGTCTTCAAACCAAATACAATCCAGATGTGGACGGCAACCTCGTTTCATTTCTGACTGCTTATCGGTATAATATCAAACCATTGCCCTCACAAGTTTTATCAGCTATCCTCCGGCTTTCGCAAGCCTTCTAGATGTAGGTCATTACCAGTTTAATGCTAGTCTTTGGTTATTGAAGTTTCACACATATTCTTTCTTTTTTGTAGGTAAACGTCAGTGAGCTGGGCTTGGTAACACCGGGTGGCAAAGTGGTGTGGGGAAAGTACGCCCAGGTGACCAACAATCCGGAAAATGAGGGCTGTGTTAATGCTGTTCTTATAGTGTAAACAACAGAACCTCTGAGCCACTGTACAGTTTATGAATTTTTTTCAATAAAATAAAGCGACAA